TGACCTTGAATTCTGGCCCTCCTGTCTGCATCTCAGGCACGGTGGCCCACACCTATAATCACAGTACTCAGGAAGTTGAGACAAAGGGATTGCTGCAAGCTGGAGGCCAGTTTGGCCTACATAGTGAGTTCAAGACCATTTTGGGGTAGATAGTAAAACTCAATAAAACGAAAAACAGCTGGTATGCCTGTAATACCAGCATTTGAGAGATGGAGGCAGGAAGATAAATGGTTCAAGGCCACCCTCAGCTACACAGTTAATTCAAGTACACCTGGGTTACTTGAGCCCCAGTCTCAAAAGCAAAAAGGCAGGAGAGATGGCTCAGCTGGTAGGTGTTTAGTCCTCTTCCAAAAGCCCGTTTCCCAGCAACCACGTCCATCATGCAGTTGAGCTTCAGGGCTCCAAGGGTGTCCATACCCCCACCACCACCACACACACCAACTAAAAATAAGTCTTTAGCTGGGCGGTGGTGGCTTATGCTTCTAATCCCAGCGCTTGGGAGGCAGAGGCACTTGGATCTCTGAGTTCAAGGCCAGCCTGGTCTACAGAGCAAGTTTGAGGACAACCAGGGATAAACAGAAAAATCCCTGTCTCAAAAAAGCAGAAAAACAACAACAAAATTTGAATAAATATAAATGAATAAATACTAAAAAACAAAAAAGCTGGCCATAGTGGTTCGTGCTTGTAATCCCAGACTTCCAGGGGCTGAACTGCTTCAAGTTCAAGGCCAGACCGGGCTACAAAGACAGACCTTGTCTCAAAAGAAAGGAGGGGGGGGGGGAGAAAAAGGAGAAAGAAAGAGAAGAAAGAGAAGAAATTTGATGTTAAAGTTGGGGCAAATACCTTCCACTTCCGTTTCAAGCGTTTATGTTTTATTCAAATTAGAAATTCATTTTGGAAGTAAACATGAATGGACTAAAGGGTAAGCTGTGTGTCTCAACAGGCCACACTATAGCTTCCACAACAAGATTTTTTTTCTTATTCTGTTATTTTGTTTGGTTTATTTTTATTTTTTTCACTTAAATTTGGTTTTGATTCAGGGGTGGGATTGTAAGGGCAGAGGGTGGGTGCAAGGAGATGGGGAGATAAGTGGGATCTCAATGTATGATGTGAAATCCACAAAGAATCACTAAAATTAAAATTAAAAAAAAAATTCCTGTTGGGCATGGTGACAAGATACCTTTGATCCCAGTATTCAGGAGGTAGAGGCAGGTGGATCTCCACGAGTTCAAGGGCAGCCTGGTCTATATAGCTAGTTCCAGGCCAGCCAAGGATATGTATGTATGTATGTGTATATATAGTGAGACTCTGTCTCAAGAACAACCCCCAAACAAGCAAATTAGAGTCAGGGCTGATGTCTGTGGTAGAAGGACAAAACTTAGTAGTAGTAATTACACTATTATCAAGCTGCCATTTGTGGAGCACTGGTTATAGATCTCTATAGATATTTTTTGATGTGGACAATCTTTTTAAAACTTTTAAAATTATTTATTTCTGTGTACCTGTGTGTCGTTGAGGATGGTACCCTTGGAAGCCAGAAGAGGGCATTAGAACCCCTGGAGCTGAAGTTGCAGTTAGTTGTAAACCACCTGACGTGGGTGCTGGGATGTGAACTCAGGTCCTCTGGAAGAGCCGCAAGTGCTCTTAACCTCTGAGCCATCTCTCCAGTCCCTGTTATAGAAAATCTTTATGCAAATAAAGAGGCAGAGATGAGTGTAGTTGGAAGGTTTCTCTGTTCCTACCCGGCCCCTCAGTCCCACAGCTGCTTATAATTACTCAGAGGTTTATATTAATTGCCAGTTGCTTGGCCTATGGCAAGCTTCTTGTTAGCTAGTTCTTATATCTTAAATTAACCCATTTCTATTAATCTGTGTTTTGTCATGTGTTCCGTGGCTTTACCAGTCTGCTGGCATGTTGTTCCTTGGGCAGCAGGCTGGCATCTCTCTCCTCTCTCTTTTCTTCTTCCTGTCTCTCTCTTCAGTTTCCCACCTACCTATAACCTGACTTGCCATAGGCCAAAAGGCTTTATTTATCAACCAATCAGAGCAACACATATTCACAGCATGCAGAAAGACATCCCACAGCAGATGAGAAAACTGGGATTCAGAAAAATGAGATTAAGCTGGGCTTGGTGGTGCATACTTATAGTCTCACCATTGGGGAGGCTGAGGCAGAAAGGGCTTGGTAAGGTCAGCCTTGAACACGGAACAAGTCTGAGATTAGCCTGGGAGTGCATTGTGAGAATCTCTCTTTAAAAAGCCCAACCAATCAACCCCTCACCAAGTTAGCTGTGCTGGTTTATGCCTATAGCCCTAGCACTGAGGAGCCCGAGGCAGGAGAATTGCTATAATTGCTATATATTGTGCAGTGTTACATGGCAAGTACCCAGTCAGCCAGCTAGGGCTACATGGTAAGACCAAAAATTTGCCTGAAAACAACAAAAACCCTCTAACTTTCCTTCACGATCCATGTTTAAGATTAACGTCGTTGTATCACGGTGGTTAAAAAAAAAACAAAATCGAGGGGCTGAAGAGATAGCTGTGGTTAAAAGCACTCGCTGTGCCGCCGTGAGGACTTGAGTTCAGATCACAGCGCCCTCATAACAAGCCAGGCTGGCCCGGTGCACCTGTAACACTAGCGCTGTGGAGAGCAGAGGCAGGAGGATCGCTGTTACTTGCTGACAGCCTTGCTGGAAAAAATGAGAGTGCTAGTTTCAGGGAGAGACCCTGCCTCAAAAAAAAAGATGGAGGGTGATAGAGGAGGACACCCAGTGCTCTCCTCTGGTCGCTGCAAGAACACCCACATGCATACCACACTCATGAGCGCACACCCAGGTCTTCAGGTGCATAGTAGGCCCTTATTTAGGAAGTGAAAGAATACGTTATGTAAATGATCCATCCACAAGTTGATGTAGATTTGCCTAGTGGTTCCCTTTAACCTTTGGTTTCGAGTTTAACTATGCTTTCCAGTGACTAATGACAGGAAAGCTATAAATGGCTTTGAGTTAAGCTCTTTTTTTTTCCCCACCGGGCGGTGGTGGCGCACACCTTTAATCCCAGCACTCGGGAGGCAGTGCCAGACAGATCTCTGTGAGTTCAAGGCCAGCCTGGTCTACAGAGTGAGATCCAGGACAGGCACCAAAGCTATACTGAGAAACCCTGTCTTCAAAAAACAAAAACCAAAAAAAGCAATAAATCTAAGGGGGAAAAATCTTATGTATTTTTTGACTCTGCCTCCTGAGTGCTGGGATTAAAGGCGTGCGCCACCACTGCCCGGCTTGCTTATGTATTTTATGTATATGGATTTTTGTCTGCATGTAGATCTGCACACCAGAAGAGGTCATTGGACCCCATGGGACTATAGTTATAGACAGTTATGAGCACCATGTGGGTGCTGGGAATTGAACTCAGGACCTCTGGAAGAACAGCCCATGCTCTTAGCTGATAGGCAATCTCTCCAGCCCCTTGAGTTAAGTTTTTAGCGAATATGTAGCCTAGGAAAGCGATTTTTTTGATATAAAGGGAGAAAGAGCAAATTAGAGGCTTTTGACATTTTTGTTTGTTTGAACAGTGTCTCCTTATATAAGCCTGGATGTTGTGGAACCCACTATGCGGTCTAGGCTCTTCACGGTTGAGCCAACTCTCCAGCACCTTCTTCAGGACTCTTATTCTGAATGCACCTGTATAAAAATTATAGACTATAATAATAAATAATTATGGTAACAAAAATGTGGTATCAGCTTAAACATATATTACACGGAAAATAGCCATCACCAGGTTCTGTTTTCTTCTGTGACCATCACAAAGGCACAGAACTTCTCTGTACTTCTCTGGACCTGGCTAGTACTTGTTTCTAGCATTGTGTAGCTGTGACAACCTATACGAAGTGTCCTGGACTCCTTAAAGGATGGTGTCAGAGCAGCAAGGTGCAATACTGTTATTAACGACAGGAATCGGAGAGAAAAACAGGAACTAGATCTTCATCTTCTTCCTCAGCCTTGTCAACTTTCCAGGTGTCCCTTTTCCGTCCCCTGGGTTGCAGTGGGGGTTTGGGAGTGTCCTTGCTTGGGTGCAAGAAGAACGCCTTGAATCCTCTGAAACTGTACTCATCAGGCGAACCTTTGTTTTGCTTTACTCTTTCAGGGAAGGCCGTGTGGCACCAGTGTGCTGTGTGGTTAGGGAGCACAGGACCCGTCAACAGAAGGCTGAGGACAAGCAACCATGGACTGTGTGTGTTTTCACCTGCCAGCCTCCGCAGATCCCACAGCCTGGAGCCCCAGCCCTTCTGACCACCTTCCATGAGAAAGGAAAGTGAATCTCGAGGCTAGTGCTTACCTGGCCAAGGCCAGTCCTCTGGAACACTCGTGAAGCCGTCCGGCAGTGTGCACCCGGTTGTCTGGAACACTTGTGAAGCCGTCCGGCAGTGTGCGCCCGGTTATCTGGAACACTTGTGAATGTGCACTCGGTCCTCTGGAACACTCGTGAAGCCGTCCGGCAGTGTGCACCCGGTTGTCTGGAACACTCGTGAAGCCGTCCGGCAGTGTGCACCTGGTCCTCTGGAACACTCGTGAAGCCGTCCGGCAGTGTGCACCTGGTCCTCTGGAACACTCGTGAAGCCGTTCGGCAGTGTGCACCCGGTTGTCTGGAACACTCGTGAAGCCGTCCGGCAGTGTGCACCTGGTCCTCTGGAACACTCGTGAAGCCGTCCGGCAGTGTGCACCTGGTCCTCTGGAACACTCGTGAAGCCGTCCGGCAGTGTGCGCCCGGTTGTCTGGAACACTCGTGACGCCGTCCGGCAGTGTGCACCCGGTTGTCTGGAACACTTGTGGAGCCGTCCGGCAGTGTGCGCCCGGTTGTCTGGAACACTTGTGACGCCGTCCGGCAGTGTGCGCCCGGTTCTCTGGAACACTTGTGACGCCGTCCGGCAGTGTGCGCCCGGTCCTCTGGAACACTCGTGAAGCCGTCCGGCAGTGTGCACCCGGTCCTCTGCATCCATCAGCTATGTCCTTCAGTGCCACCATTCTCTTCTCCCCTCCCAGTGGCAGTGAGGCCAGATGCTGCTGCTGTGCCTGTAAGAGTGAGACTAGCCAGGGCAGCTCGGGTTCTCAGGGTGGGAATCCTCCTGCCGGCACCCCTATCACAGTGACAGGGCACGGCCTGGCAGTTCAGAACTCTGAACAGCTCCTGCATATCATCTACCAGCGGGTGGACAAGGCAGTGGGTCTAGCTGAGGCAGCCCTGGGTCTTGCTCGGGCCAACAACGAGTTGTTAAAACAGCTCCAGGAAGAAGTGGGTGCGCTACGGCAGGGGAAAGTGTGCACCGCTGATGAAGATGGGGAGAGCCGGGCCCGCAGCCCCCCGCCCGAAGAGCCTGGCCTGCTCAAGGGGAGTCCGGGAGAAGCCTGCAAGACACTCTCTGCCGTGGAGGAGGAGTGTGACAGCGTGGGCAGTGGCGTGCAGGTGGTGATCGAGGAGCTGCGGCAGCTGGGGGCCGCCTCCACCGTGGGGCAGGGGCCCTTGGGCTTCTTCGCAGCCCCCCAGAGAGATCTGCGGCTCCCAGGATGTGCTCTGGCTGCGGTGGAGGGAGCCCCTCTGCTCAACCCCGTAAGTAACTCCCGGGGTGACTGATATGCCCACGCTGCTCGGGATGCTGAATCATATGCCTTCCTCTCTTCCACTCTTTAAACCATTCTTTTGCTCGTGCCTGTGATAAAACAGAAGAGCACCCACCAAGTTTCCTCCACTTTCAGGGATAACCAGCACTCCTGTTTCCACCCCGGACCCGTTTTTTTGGCAGGAGGTCGTTTTTGGTACACGCGGTGACGTGGTGCCTCCCACCTTCTCAACAGCTCCACCATGCCATCTTTTCCACAGCTGTCTCGGCTGCTCCACTGGCTCTGCCTTTCCTGGCGAGAATGCCTGCCATGCACAGACGGCTCATTCATATTTTATCACGGCCTTCAGCTTGCCAAGAAGGGCTTCGATGCAGAGAGGGAAGTGTGGAGGGGAAGAGGGGGAAAGGTGGCGGCAGGGGAGTGGAAGGATAAGGACACTAGAAGGCAGGTGAAGGGGAAAAACGGAGTGGAAAGAAGGGGTTTGAAGAAGGAGGAAAGAGTGAGGAAGGAGCATAAAAGAGAGATGGCTCAGCAGTTAAGAGCACTGGCTGCTCTTCCAAAGGTCCTGAGTTCAATTCTCGGCAACCACGTGATGGCTCACAACCATCTGTAATAGGATCCGATGCCCTCTTCTGGCCTGCAGGCATACATGCAGGCAGAGCACTTGCACCTAAAAAATATGCACTCGTACCTAAAAATACATATATAAATAAATACAATTTAAAAATAAAAGAAAAAGGTAAATCTGAGCCTGGCAGTGGTGGCATGGTGGCAGATGCCTTTAATCCCAGCACTCTGTGAGTTCAAGGCCAGCCTGGACTATAAAGTGAGTCCCAGGACAGCCAGGGCTACACAGAGAAACCCTGTCTCAAAAAAAAAAAAAAAAAAAAAAAAAAAAAAAGTGATGATGATTGACAGGATCTCACTCTCTAGCCCAAGCTGGCCTAGAACTCACTCTGTAGTCCCTGGCTTTTCTCCAATTTGCTGGCGTTACAGGTGTAAACCACCATACTGGGTTTCAAGAGAATTTAACTAGGGAAAGATCAGATGAAAGGTAGGCAGAATACTGGGCATGATGGCACATACCTTTAATTGCTTTTCAAGATTTATTTTTTTAATTTTTAATTATGTATGAATGGGGGGGGCACATGTGCACTTGAGTGCAGGTGCAGGGGGAGGCCAGAAGAGGGAGTCATCTCCTGGAGTAGAGTTACAGACTATTACTAGCCCCTCGGCGTGGGTGTTGAGAAGCAAACTCGGGTCCTCTGGAAGAACAGTACGTTCTCTTAACCTCTAACCCATTTCTCTAGCCCCCTTTAACCCCCCCCCCTTTTTTTTTTTTTTTGGTTTTTCAAGACAGGATTTCTCTGTGTAGCCCTGGCTGTCCTGGAATTCTGTAGACCAGGCTGGCCTGGAACAACCACCTTTGCCTCCCGAGTGCTGGGATTAAAGACGTATGCCACCACCACCTAATTGCTTGCTTTTTTTTTTCTTTTTCTTTTCTTTTGGGCCTCGATCAGAAGGACTTGGGCCCCCCACGAGCAGAATTGCTTGCTTTTAATACCAGCACCCAGGAGGCAGAGGCAGGTGAATCTCTGTGAGCTGAGGGCCATCAGGGTGTACGTGGTGAGTTCCCGGTCAACCAGGACCATGAGACCCTGTCTGAATAGGAACATTAGGAACATCAAAGATGTGACAGTGACGAGAGACTCGCCATGATTTGTGGCCAGCCTGGGCTTCATAGTGAGTTCCAGGCCTGCCTGAACTAAATATAGAGATCCTGTCCCCCAAAAAGAAAAACAAATCAAGAATTAGCTGAGGAGAGACTGCAGAGATGGCTCAGTGGTTAAGAGAGCATACTGAAGCCGGGCGGTGGTGGCGCATGCCTTTCAGACCAGCACTTGGAAGGTGGAAGCAGGCGGATCTCCATGAGTTCAAGGCCAGCCTGGTCTACAAAGTGAGTTCGAGGACAGGCTCCATAGCTACGCAGAGAAACCTTGTCTCAAAAAAGCCCCCCCCCCCAAAAAAAAAGGAGTAAAAAAGAGTGCATACCTCTCTTCCAAAGGACCTGAGTTCAGTTCCCAGCATCCTTGTCAGGTGCCTCACAACAGCCAGATCCAAGGGGATCCGATGCCTCTGGCCTCCTGGGACCTGCACTTACATGTTCACATTCACACACAGACATACACACATACACATAATTAAAAATAATAAAAATACGTCTTCTGAGAAGGTGGGGGCAGAGAGCATATTCTGGGCAGAAAAAGACACAGAGATACACAGTGCTATTTCAGTTTTTCAGTGGTCCAGGGCCTTATGAAGAAGAACAGCCTGGCTAAATAGAAGAAGAACAGCAGAGAGGCCCTCAAGGAAGAGAACAGGAGGATGGCAGAGACAGGGAGTAACAGATGCTCCACACTCAACAGCCGGAGGGGAGTCTTCCGCTCTCCCCGACCCTCGGTCTGCCCGCTCTCCTCCCTTTCGCCCCCAACGCGGTAACAGTACCCAGTAAAGAGTAAAGATCCAAACACAGGGTGAATGAGAGGGCGGGAACTCCCAGCCCATCTGCTGGATACGAGGAATGAGCATCTCGACCTCTCCCCTAGACGCCAGCCTCTCATAGCAATGCGCTGCTGCTCTCCTAAAGGCTTAGCTCTGTAGTCGTGGCCACTGTTTCCACTCTCTCTGCCCGGCTTGGGCCTGAGAGACAGGAAACAGGAGGACCCCCAGGCCAGGTGGTGCTCTCCACTGGGGGTTCTTTAGGCAGGGAAGGCTTCCAAGCTGACAGGATGGAATTAGCTTTTAGATGTCACAGCACGGGAAGGAAGCAGCTCCCAGGCCTGTAAATCTCAGCTGCCTCCTCCGCATCTTTCTGTATGTGTGTGGCTCCCCCCACTTTCACTGTTTTGTTTTCTTGGCTGTAAAAATCCCCACTCTCTTCCCTCGGCTGTCTGCTCCGCTCCCTCTCCCTCGCCCTGTGTGTCCTTGACTGCACCGGCAGTCAGCTGGATGCTCAGGCTGAGACTGTGGGATGTGGCTTGGCCCAGACTGGCCCCTCCAAGGGACTAGAGGGTAGGTGAGGAGTCTGTTGTGTTTGGGACATCCTCTCGAGGGGTCTTGACTTTGCATTTCTCTGCTTCGCTCTCCCCTTTTCTCTCATGTCCCTTTTTTGTTGTTGGTACTGTTCAGTTTTCTTGTTTCTGTCCTGCTCCATTTCCCCTTCTTGTTCCCACTTTCTCTCCTGGTGCCTTTCAGACAGAGCTCTTAGCTAGATACATTTCTTGTGTTGTTTGTTATTTTGTTTTCTGAGACAGGGTTTCTCTGTGTAGCTAGCCCTGGCTCTCCTGGAACTGTTCTATAGACCAGGCTAGCCCTGCACTCAGAGATCCGCCTGTCTCTGCCTCCCGAGTGCTGGGATTAAAGGCGTGCGCCACCACCGCCCCTGAGATACATTTCTTTTTTTTTTTTTTGGTTTTTCGAGACAGGGTTTCTCTGTGTAGCTTTGCGCCTTTCCTGGAACTCGCTTTGGAGACCAGGCTGGCCTCGAACTCACATCCGCCTGGCTCTGCCTCCCGAGTGCTGGGATTAAAGGCGTGCGCCACCACCGCCCGGCTGAGATACATTTCTTATACTCAAGAGTATGCCATAAGTAACTGTTCACATAGACCGTCAAAGCATGCCTTGTTCATGTAAGACGTTTTGGGATTAACAACCCAACATTACAGGTCCTGTTTACATAAGAAGAACCTGCCCCGGGGCTGGAGAGATGGTTCAGTAGCTAAGAACACTGGCTGCTCTTCCAGAGAACCCAGGTTCGATTCCTTAGCACCCTCATGGCGACTCACAGCCATCTGTAACTCCAGTTCCAGGAAATCCAACACCCTCTTCTGGCCTCCACAGGCACTGGATGCATGTGGTACATAGATTTACATGCAGGCAAAACACCCATGCACATGGGGTGGGGGAGAGAAAAAGTTGCCAGTTTGCCTGATGTTCTCATAGACGCCCAGAGAAGTAAGTCATTGCCATGAAAGGCTGCTGACCTGGCCTCTTCTACCTTGTTCAATATCCTTGGCCAAGACTCGTGGGTAAGCCAGCCCTCCTCTGCCTGCTGGTAAAAGACTCTTCTTGTGTTCTTAGGTGGCGGATGATTATGTGGCCTCTGAGGGCACAATCCAACGGGTGCTGGTCCCTGCCTATGCCAAACAGCTTTCACCAGCCACACAGCTGGCTATCCAGAGGGCATCCTCAGAAACAGGACCAGAAAATGGCACCAAGCTACCAGCAGCCCACCCTGAGGACATGCTTGGTTCGGCGGCACTGGACAGTGCCTTGGAAGAGTCGGGCCCTGGTGGCAACGGGGAGTTGAGCCGTTCCATGGGATTTATTGGCTCCCCATGCAGAATCCGAGCAACCGGGCAGAAAAACTCCAGGCGCAAGCGAGATCTGGTGCTCTCCGTAAGTGAGCTCGGTGTTAATCATTTCTTCTTCAGTTTGAAAGAGTGGGTTGATTTTAAGCCTCCCAGTAGAATGGATAGTGTCCTGAATCCCTACTGGAATGGGAAGGATCAGGGGAGACATTATTCCATAACTATGGGCAGAGTCTTTTCCATCACCTCATCTTTTAGGCTTATCTAGATAGAATGGCACCTTCCCTTTAAAGAGAGGAGAATTCTATCTCTCAGTGTTCTCATAATTCTGATGGGAAGATCTTTAAGGATCGAATAGACTGACCACCGAAGGGTCCTGTTTTAGCCAATGTGCTGGGTAAGTAACAAGGGACCTCTTGTGTGGGAAAGCTGTTGTCCTGAAAAAGTGCCAAGCCCCACAGAGGTGCTGAGCCTGATGCAGTCTGCCCAATCCCAGAGCTCTGGAGAATCTCCTCATTCTGAGAGCTCTTGGCAGGCAGAAAGGGACTGGCTAGGAAGACTGCCTAATGTTTTATTGGAGAGGATGAGAGCCCCAGGGTCACTCTGCTGAGATGAGAGTCCCCGGTGGTGCGGCAGCCAATGGAACCTGAGGAACTTGTGGAGCCATGGTTCTCAGCCCGGAGTAACTGCCCTCCAGGGACATGTGTAATGACTAGTGACTTTTCAGACCGTTATCGCTGGTGAGTAGGTAGAGGGAGAATGCTTATATCCAACAGGTAGAAGCCAGGGAGGCTACTGAGTGGCCCACAGTATACATTCCAGCTCAACATGTCAACAGCGCAGATGTTAAGAGATTTTCTTCTGGAGGAGCATAGTCTCTTGGATCAACTGTGAGCTCAAGAGCTTTGTGGGCTTTGGGGGGCTTTGTTTTGTTTTGTTCGAAACAGGGTCTCATGAAACTCAAAGTGGCCTCAAAGTCACTGCAGAGTTGAGGCTGACCTTGAACTCCTCCTGCTTTTACCTCACAAGTGCTGGCTGGAATTTTAAACATATATATCATTATATCCAGCGTACTCTGAATTTATTTACTTATTTATTTAGAAGCAGTTGGAATTTATTAAATGTTAATTAATGAGAAGTAGGGGCTCATTATATTAACCCTAGTTGACCTATAACTTGCTGTGTAGACCAGAGTGGCCTCAGACTCATAGAGATATGCCTGTCTTTGCCTCCTGAGTGCTAGGATTAAAGGCATGCACCACCACTGCTGGATTTTGTTTATTTATTTTTCGACACAGGGTTTCTTTGTGTAGCCTTAGCTGTCCTAGAACTAGACCAGGCTGGCCTTGAAACTGGATCTTAATATAGATTGTTAATGTTTTCTAATTGTATTTGTATGTATGTGTGTGTATACTACTTGTGTGCAGGATTCTTCAGAGGCCAGGTGGTATTATATTCCCGGGAGCCAGAGTTACATGCAGTTGTGAGTATCCCAGTGTGAGTGTAGGAACTGAACTTGGGTCCCGTGGAAGAGCAGCAAGGTGTCATAACCACTGAGGCTTATCTCCAGCACTTCTTAATGCATTAAAAAATAAATTTTTATTTTTATTTTCTTTATGTGCATGTGTGAGTGCGTGTGTGCGTGCGTGCATGAGTGCATTTGTACGTGTGTATGTGTGTGTCCCACATGTGTTTAGGTATCCTCAGAGACCAAAGAGCCACAGTTGGAGGCAGTCGTGAGTCACCTGCTATGAGTGCTGGGAACTGAACTTGAGTCCTCTGAAAGAGCAGCAAGCCCTTTAGTTTAGATTTTAAGTAGTAGTGAAGAGAAAGGAAGGTACTCAGTAAAAAAGACATACTTGGAGACTACCTGTAATCTCAGAGTTGGGAAGCCAAAGCAGGAGAATATTGAGTTTGAAACCAGCCTAGGCTATAAGGTAAGTTTGAGGCCAGGCCTGGCACCATAGTAAGAAAGACTATTTCAGAAAAATAAAGGAAAACAAATTATTGAGCATATTGGCTTGCAAGGGAGGAATGGCTTTAGGGCCTTAGAGGGCTAATCTTGAACTCTAGAAGGAGTCCAAGAGCTCCCTCTCTCTGATCTGCTGGGATGCCTGTGGACCAGAAGGACCAGACCAGTGTGCTTAACTCTTTGGAAAGGTGTGGCTGCCAGCCACCCTTGGGGAAGAATGTTTATTTTTAGCTCTCTCAGGAGGTAGATGAGCCAGCAGCCTTTACAGTCTTAACACCTACTGTCTAGAGGACTTTCCCTTTGCACTTCAAGCCTGGTTTGATTTTTTTATCACCTGATCTCTTCCAAACTACTTATCTTGGAAGATAGGTAACTCCTTTTCTTTTTTGTGAGAAGTCACACTTTTTATGAAATCATTCACTTATTCCTTTGTGATTGCTTACATCTGGACTTTAGTTTCTAGTTTTTTTTAAAGATTTATTTCTTATTTTTATGTGTATAAGTATTTTGCCTTCATATGTTCATGTGCGCCATGTGTAAACCTGGTGCCCACCGAAACCAAAAGAGGGCTCTGGATTCCCAGGACTGGACTTAAGGACACTTTGTATGCTTCCATGTGGGTGCTGGGAACTGAATCCTGGTCCTCTGCAACATCAACCAGTGTTTTCAACTCTCTCCAGGCTCCTTTTTTTAGAGGTACTGTTTCATGCAGTCCAGGCTGGCTCCAGACCTCCTGTGTGGTTGAAGCTGACCTTGAACTGGAAGTCCTGCCTCTTCCTCCCAAGTGTTGGTATCACAGCATGTGCCGTCATGCCTGGTCTCAGAGTGCTAAGGATGGAACCCAGGACCTCATACATGTTAGGCAAGCACCTGTGAACTAGCTACCTTCCTGTTTACATTCCCATTAGAGAGAGAGAAAGAGAGAGTTGCAGTATGTTGTATATGATGAGGGCACACATACGTCACAGTGAATATGTGGATGTCAGAGGGTATCTCTGTGGGGTCAATTCTTTCTATTTTTACACGGGTTCCAGGAATCAAAATCAGGTTTTGGGGCTGTGTGGCAAATACTTTTACCCACTCAGCTACCTTGCTGGCCTCTGGTTTTGTTTTGTTTTTGTTTTATGTTTTTTTTTTTAATGTTTTATCTTATTATTAGTCTAGACTTTATTTGATGCATGTGGATATGTGTGGGTGTTTTGCCTACATGTATGTCTGTGAATCACATGCACACAGTGTCACACAGTGTCCATGGAAATCACAAGAGGGCATTAGATCCCCTGGGACTGGAGTTAGATGGTTATGAGCCACCATGTGGGTGCTGGGAACTGAATCTGAATCCCTTGGAAGGGCAACAAGTGTTATTATCCGATGGACCATCTTTCTAGCTCCCACCCTTTTGTATTTTTATTGACACAAGGTCTCTCTCTGTGATCCAGGCTGGCCTGGAGCTCACTCTGTAGTTCAGACTGGCCTCAGATTTGTGGAGCTCCATCAGCACCAGCCTCCCAAATGCTGAGATTACAGTCCTGAGCCACCATGCCTGACTTCTAAGTAGTCAAACAAAACTGTGTGGAACTTGGGGCTAATATAGCACCGTTCCTCTTCATAGAGTGGAGGCTAGGACTGCTAAAAGCTGATAGTACTTTCCTATTTTGTATAGTCACTCAGCTATAGAGATGGGGGATAGGCTGGGGATTTCTGAATAGGGACTGGTTATCGGTTTTGGTAATCTCCACTGACTGCAGGGGCTTGGGATGAAAATATAATCAGAAAAAGCGAAGCTAGATATAACATTAGTAAATCTAAAACCCTTCATTAAAACTCAAAGTGTCAGGATGGAGAGATGGCTCAAAGTTTAAGAGCACTGGCTGCTCCTCATAGAGGTCCTGAGTTCAATTCCCAGCAACCACATGGTGACTCACAAACCATCTATAATGAGATCTGGTGCCCTCTTCTGGCAGAACACTGTATACATAATAAATAAATAAACAAACCTTAAAACCAAAAAAATACCTTAAAGTGTCACCGGTGGCTCACACCTTTAGTCCTAGCACTTGGGAGGCAGAACCACTTGGATCTCAAGTTCAAGTTCAGGTTCAGGGCCAGCCTGGTCTATGAGTGAGTTCCAGAACAGCCAGGTTTTTCCTGTGTGGAAAAACCAAAATAAGTAAATAACAATGCTCAAAGTGTCAGTTGCAGCATGAACCCTATGACTTTGTGAGTGATGTGGGGTGACTAAGGAAGGTAATGCGGTCTTCAGATTTATTCCCAGGCACAGAGCCTCACTTTGGGAATTAACGCTCTCTCTGGCTAGGACCCAGCTGATGACGTAGACTCAGCTGTGGTGCTCCCTTGCAGGTAAGACAGGCTATCCCAGAGCCCACTCCTGATCACCAGGACTGAGGCTGTTCAGTGCAGGCAAGAAGACAAGGGAAGTTCTTGAAAGTCATCTTCAAATACCTCGTGTGGCTTTACAAGCAAAACCGGATCGGAGTTCTGAAAATAAAACTTTGCTTCTGAGACAGTCTCTCACTATGTAGTCCCAGCTGTCCTGGAACTCTGAAAACAAGGTTGGCCTCAAACTCACAGAGATCTGCCTGCTTCTCCCTCTTGTGTGCTGAGATTAAAGGCATACACCACCATGCTGGGTCCAATAAAACTAACTTTTAAAAATGTATTTATCTATTTTTATGTGTATGGGTGTTTTGCCTGCATATGTCTGTACATGCCATGGAGGACAGGAAGGGCCTCATAACTTCTTGAACTGGAGTTTCAGATGCTTGTGAGCTGCCATGTGGGTGCTGGGAATCTAACCCAGGTCCTCTGGATGAGCAGCCAGTTTTCTTAACCACTGAGCCATCTCTCCAGCCTCCAATAAAACTCTTTAATTAGAAATGTTCATTTGGGGGCCAGGCATGGTGCAAGTCTTTAATCCCAGCACTCAGGAGGCAGAGGCAGGCAGGTCTCTGTGAGTTCAAGGCCATACAGAGTGAGTTCCAGGACAGCCAGGGCTATGTAGATAGATCATGTCTCAAAAAAGCAAAACGAAAATGTTCAGTAGGACTCATTGTGGTAGTGCTAGGAAGGCAGAGGCAAGTGGATGTCTGAGTTTGGGCTAGTCTAGTCTACGTAGAGCATTCCAGGCCAACCGGGACTACATAGTGAGACCCTGCCCCCCTTCCCACCCTTCACCCCTGCCAAAAAAAAAAAAAATGTTCAGTGGAATAAACAGCAGTGATGGCTGCAGGATGGATCAAGGTTAGAGGGTATGGGTTGGACTCCCAACCCCCACATGGCTCACATCTATCTACAACACCAGTTCCAGGAGGTCTGTTGTCTCTCTGACCTCTGTGGACTCCTGTATACATGTGATGCACATACATGTACTCAGGCACACACACAAACACATACAATTAAGTAAATTCGTCAATTTTTTTTAAAGATTTATTTATTTATTATGTATACAGTATTTTGCCTGCATTATGTCTGCACACCAGAAGAGGGCACAAGATCTCATTACAGATGGTTGTGAGCCACCATGTGGGTGCTGGGAATTGAACTCGGGACCTCTGGAAGAGCAGCTAGTGCTCTTAACCTCTGAGCCATCTCTCCAGCCCCAATTTTTTTTTTTTTTTTTTTTTTTTGGTTTTTCGAGACAGGGTTTCTCTGTGTAGCTTTGTGCCTTTCCTGGAACTCACTTGGTAGCCCAGGCTGGCCTTGAACTCACAGAGATCCGCCTGGCTCTGCCTCCCGAGTGCTGGGATTAAAGGCGCGTGCCACCACCGCCTGGCGAATTTTTTTTTTTTTTTTTTTTTTTTTTTTTGGTTTTTCGAGACAGGGTTTCTCTGTGTAGCTTTGCGCCTTTCCTGGAACTCGCTTTGGAGACCAGGCTGGCCTCGAACTCACAGAGATCCGCCTGGCTCTGCCTCCCGAGTGCTGGGATTAAAGGCGTGCGCCACCACCGCCCGGCGCGAATTTTTTAAAGGAAATCGATGTGTATAAACAAAACTGACAGCTGCTTGATGCCGTGAAAGGAAGTGCTGACTCTCTCCAGAGCACCTTCCAGTTTCCAGTTCTGTTGTTTTAGATTTGTGTTTTTCAAGTTTCACGTGTGTACCTCTCAGACTTGCGATAATTTTTCATTTTCTTTCCAGGCTGTCCTGAAACTGCCTCTAAGAACCAGGCTGGCTTTGAACTCAGAGGTCTGCCTGCCTCTGTCTCCTGAATACTGGGGTTAAAGGCATGTGCCAGCCGGGCGGTGGTCGTGCACGCCTTTAATCCCAGCACTCGGAAGGCAGAGGCAGGTGGATCTCTGTGAATTTGAGGCCAGCCTGGTCTCCAAAGCGAGTTCTAGAAAAGGCGCAAAGCTACACAGAGAAACCCTGTCTTGAAAAAAAAAAAACAAAAAACAAAACAAGCAAACAAGGCATGTGCCAATATACCTGATTAGTGGGTCTTCAACCTCAATAGATAATTTCAGAATACACTTATATTCAAAGAAATATAGATAGCTGGATATGGTGGCACATTCCTGTAATCCCAGCATTCAGGTAAGGAAGGTATAGGAGCATGAGTTCAGCTTGACCACATAGGAAATTTACAGTCATCTTGGGGTACATGAGACTTTGGTTAAAAAGAAAAGCAAAAAATATAAACACTTAGATAGCTCTTTGGTTAAGAAAGGATATATTTAAAAATGGTGCTGTGGTAGTCTGAATGTATTTGGCCCCCATAATCTCATAGGGAGTGCACTATTAGAGGTGGATTTGTTGGAGTGGGGATGGCCTTGTTAGAGAAAGTGTGCCCCCGTGGGAGCAGGCTTTGAGGCTTCCTATGGTCGGAATACCACCCTGAGAGTCAGTTGACTTCCTGTTGCCTTCTGATCAAGATATAGCCAAACTCATGTCTGCCATGACCCCTGACATGCTCCCCACCGTGATGACAATGGACTGAACCTCTGAAACTGTAAGGGAGCCACCCCAATGAAATGTTTTCTTTATAAGAGTTGCCATGGTTATGGTGTCTCTTCACAGCAATAAAAACTTAACCAAGACAGGTGCCTAGAAGTCAGGCAGTGGTGGTGCATGCCTTTAATCTCAGCACTCAGAAGGTAGAGGCAGGCAGATCTCTGTGAGTTCGAGGCTAGCCTGGTCTACAGAGCAAGTTCCAGAACAACAAGGACTGTTACACAGAGAAATCCTGCCTCAAAAAACAAACAAAACAAAAACAAAAAGCAAACGGTGCCTAGGAAGTAGATTAAAGGATTGGGAAAGAGAAGAACCCACACACTGGGGCGATACTTTTTTTTTAACCCTAGGGACCAGAGGAAAGTTTCCCTGTCTATTCCTGACCTGATTCTTTCTCCCTCCTAGAAACTGGTCCACAATGTGCATAACCACATCACCAATGACAAGAGATTCAATGGATCTGAAAGGTATGGTCTCTTGAAGAAAAAAAGCTTACAGGGTGCTTTCCTGAGAGGGAAGTGGGGCAGGGGGATGCTGGCTTGTACCAGTCCAGGGAGTTTATTATACCGCTGATTTGTTCTAGGTGTGTCTGGCTTCTCTGGCTCCTCCAAAGTTGTCTGCCTTATAATTATTATTATTATTTTCTCCTCTGTGACAGCATTAAGTCCTCTTGGAATATTTCAGTAGTGAAGTTCCTTTTGGAAAAGCTGAAGCAGGAACTGATGACCAGTCCCCATAACTACACTGATAAGGAGCTGAAAGGTAAGGAACCTGACCTCCCTCTGCTCCTGCTCACTGCTTGCCCCTCCACTGCCCTGCTCTTGGCTGGGAGGGAGGAGGCCTGGGGATGATTCAAGTGGTGTTAAAATAGCACATGGCAGCTAGGGGTGGAACCTCATACCTGTGACCCCAGGGCTGGAGACTGAGGCAAGAGGATCACTTCAAGTTCAAGGCCAAGCTAGGCAATATACAGAGTTGTAGGCGAGCTTGAGAGAGAGAGAGAGAAAGAGAGAATGAGAATAGTGTTTGTGCATTTTAAAACCTTTTGTAATTGTTCTCACCTAGAATTATTAAAGATTGCTTCAAATTGAGATCGCTTCAAATTGCCTTCTTCCCCTACTCAGTTTGGAATGAAAAAGTGAAAAGGACCAGAGTGTCCTTACACATTATATTTAATATAGGGATCGAATCTGAGGTCAGGAGTTAGCCTATTATTGTTGTTGTTATTATTATTAAACAAGGGTCCCACCTGGCTGTCCTGGAACTGTCTATGTAGACCAGGCTGGCATTGAACTCACAGAGATCTATCTCCCAAGTGCTGGGATTAGAGGCATGTGCCACCATGCTGGCTTTGTTGCTGTTTTTTAAAACATGTATTTGTTTTATGTTGCATGTGTGTGTACGTCTAAGTGTGTGCATGTGTATCACTTGTGTGCATGAACCTGCTGAGGTCAGAAGGCATTGGATGCCCAGGAACTGAAAGTACAAATGGCTGTGACCTGTCGTGTGGATGCCGGGAAACCAAATCCAGTCCTCTGGAAGACAGCCAGTTCTCTTAACTGCTGAGCCATCTCTCCAGTCCCAGTCCTTTAAAAAACATATTACAATGACAGGCAGTGGTGGCGCCTGCCTTTAATCTCAGCACTCAGGAGGCAGAGGCAGACAGATCTCTGTGAGTTTGAGGTCAGCCTGGTCTACAGAGTGAGTTCCAGGACAGCCAGGGCTATACAGAGAAATCTTATCTTGAAAAAACAAACAAACAAAAACAAAACAAAATGTATACATTTACTTATTTAGTGTGTGTATTGTGTGTGCATATGAATGCCCGTGTATAATCATCTGCCACAGTATGCATGTAGAGCTCAGAGGATAACTTGTGGTAGTTGACTCCCTGCTTCCAGGGATGGTCATCAGGCTTGGTATCAAGCACCTTTCCCCTATAAGCCATCTTGCCAACACAGAAGCCAGCCCCTCTGTCCCTGATTATATGCCCTGGGGCCAGAGAGATGGCTCAGTGGTTGAGTACTGGCTGCTCTTCCAGAGGACCTGGGTTCAATTCCCAGCACCCACATGGCAGCTCCCAGCAGTCTGTAACTCCAGTTCCAGGTGATCTGATGCTCTCTTCTGGCTTCTGAGGGTACTGTATGGATGTGGTGCTCAGACACACACGCAGGCAAAACACCCATGCACATAGAATAGATTAAATCTCGGCAATAAAAAAAACCACTGCGGTGCAAGTTTCCTACTTTCCTTACTCCCTGTCACGTATACCCGTTGCTGAGGTCCTATGGCAGCCGTTAAAAAGCACTGAGATCCAGTGGTGGAACAGCAGGAGTAGATTTGATGCTAGAGATGAATTCACGGAAGCAGGTGAATCTACCTCTCTGTAGCGAGGGGTATTTGGGAGGAGTTAGTTTTGGAGAGGAAGGTGGGCAGAGGGCACTGAATCCAGGAGGACTGAACGCCCAGCCTGCGGAGCGGTGATCCGACCTTGCACTCAGTAAGCAGTGCGGGGGCTGGGGACCCCTGCTCTAGAAGGCCCCGCTTCTTGCTGTCTCCGTCCTCCAGGAGCCTGTGTGGCCTACTTCCTTACCAAGAGGCGAGAGTACCGCAACTCTCTCAACCCTTTCAAAGGCCTGAAGGAGAAAGAAGAGAAGAAACTCCGAAGTCGCCGATACCGGGTAGGTCTCTAGCCTGCCTTTCAAGACGTGGAACCCTAGCCTAGATCCTAGATCCATAGTGTGAGGGGTATGCCAAAGGTACAGCAGCCGAGAATACGGTTGACACCGGAGGGTAGACAGACAGACGACAGATGGAGGGTGAGCTAACTCAAAGATCCGACTTGAGGACTGGGTACATTTAGGCACAGATTTTACACGCCCTTTCTCCCAACATGAACCCTTTCTACAACCCACCGTCTGTTTCTCCTCCTAATCTCTGTCCCGGGTCTCACCATAGCTCTTTGCCAACCGATCCAGTATCATGAGGCATTTCGGACCCGAGGACCAACAGCTGTGGAAGGGTGTGACCGAAGAGCTGATGTCAGACGAGGAAGACAGTCTTAACGAGCCGGGTGTGTGGGTGGCCCGCTCCCCCCGATTCCGGTCCCAGCGCCTCACCGAGCTCTGCTACCACCTGGACGCGAACTCAAAGCATGGCACCAAAGCCAACCGTGTGTACGGGCCTCCCTCAGACAGACTGCCTTCCGTGGAAGCCCAGCTCCTTCCACCCGAACTTTACAATCCCAATTTCCAAGAAGAGGAAGGAGGAGGCGGCGGCGGCGGCGGCGGCGGCGGCGGCAGCGAGAAAGGACCCGTCTCTCCGTCCTTCGACCAGCCTCACAAGGCATCCTGCCCTGATTTGAACTCATTCATCGAAATCAAGGTGGAAAAGGATGAATACAATCTCTAACAAGGGTCACGCTGACGCCTGCCACTCTCCGCATCCCAGAAACGGGGGGGCTCAGCACAATGAGGCGCCTCCTGCAGATCTGCTTCTCTTAACATAGTGTTTACTTGAAGTGGAAGCTGGAGACTCTGGTGGGATAGCAGGGCAGGGGAGTGCCGCCCCCGCCCCGCCCTGCCCCATTGATAAGCCAGAAAATGCTTATTCCTAAGCATAAACCGTGCCTCGGAGGAGCCTGGGATGAAAAGGGGGGATGGGTCAAAGAAACATGAGGCCTTGATACATGTCCCTATCTCTGACTTTATCTGCCCCCCCCTTCCATTCCCCCTACCCCCAACCCCCTTCGTTGTACCCACAGCTCAGGAGAAACACTGCGGGTCTTGTGCTGCCCTGGAAGCAGAACAGACCTGTCCAGGGTAATACTGCCCCCTGGTGGGAAGTTTCAGTCATGGGCTTTCTCTTCTGAGCAGGGTACTATGGGCTTACCGCTATTTGGAAATTAGGGTCTAGATATGCTAGTTATTGTTTGGATTTTTTTAATGATAGTTATTATTTGTTGGATTATATGAGAAAAATTTATTATTCCAATATTACATGTGAGGAAATTAAAGCTTAACCATTTCTCATGTTGCTGGGCATAGTGACTCATATTTAGAATGCCAGCATTTAGGAAGCTGAAACTGGATGGCCGCTGTCAGTTCAAGACCAGCCTGGGCTACATAGTGAGTTCCTGGCTGGCCTGGGCTACAGAGTGAAACCCTGTCTCAAAAAAACCAAAACAAGGCTGAGCATCGGAGGTGCACACCTCTAGTCCAGCACTCAGGAGGCAGAGGCAGGCGGATCTCTGTGAGTTCCAGGCCAGCCTGGTCTACAGAGCTAGTTCCAGGACAGCCAGTGCTACCCAGAGAAACCGTCTCTAAAGAAAAACAAACAAAAAACCAAAACAAGCCAGGCATGGTGGCACATGCTTTTAATCCCAGCACTCAGGAGGCAGAGACAGGTAGATTTCTATGAGTTCCAGGCCAGCCTGGTCTACCTAGTGAGACCCTGTCTCAAGAAAAACAACAAAAGGAAACCAGCAAAAAGCCACTCCCATGTCTCACAGACAGCTTTTCTTCCATTCTGGTGACCAAGAACACACAGCTTTGTAGCTACTTTTCAGCCTTGTCAGCCAAGCTGTATTTTGAGGAAGGCGAATGTACACACATACATTACAAATGGATTAAGAAGTAAAAATGGCTTTATACTCATTTTGTCATGCAAAAAAATATTAAAACTGAGTGTGATGGTCTACGCTTGTAATTCCAGCAATAGGGAGGCTGAGGCAGGAAGGTCACAAGTTTGAGGACACCCTGACTAAGGGAAAAGAAAACAAAACAAAAACCAAACCAACAGTTAGTGGTTGTTTTTGCTCTTTTGGGGGGCCTGCCACCCAGCTCCCAAATAAATCACACATGGAGGCTTATTCTTAGTTATAAATGCCAGGCCTTAGCTTGGCTTGTTTCTTGCCAGCTTTTCTTAACTTTAAATTATTCCATCTATCTTTTGCCTCTGGGCTTTTACCTTTCTCTATTTCTGTATATCTTTCTTTCTTACTCCATTGCTGGTTGTGTGGCTGGGTGGCTGGCCCCTTGCATCCTCCTCCTTCTCTTGCTCCTTGATCTCTCTTCTTGCTCTTAACAGATTTCTCTCTTCCCAGATTTCTCCTTCTGCCTGCCAGCCCTGCCTATCCTTTCCCCTGCCTTGCTATTGGCCATTCAGCTCTTTATTAGACCAGTCAGGTGTTTTAGACAGGCATAGTAACACAGCTTCACAGAGTTAAGCAAATACAACATGAAAGAATGCAACACATCTTTGCATCATTAAACAAACGTTCCACAGCACAAACAAATGTAACACATGTTAAAATAATATTCTACAACAGAGCACTGGGGAGGTAAAGACAATAGTATCAGGAGGTCAAGGTCTTCCTCAGTCACATAGCAAATTCGAGGCCATCATGGGCTACATGAGACCCTGGCTCCAAACCACAACAGCAATAAGCTGATTCCTTACCAGGTGCCATGTACTGTGTTGGGGCTGTGGACACAAAGTGGATAGGTTCAGATTGTTAAGCTTCAACTCATTGTATAGTCAGGAAGCATGTCAACTGAGTAGGCAAAGGAGAAACTCTGGTAAGGGTGATCGTGGAGTAGTGCAGAGTCCAATAATAAAACATAGCTGGGGTAGCTAACGTTCTTTTGCAGTTGGGAATGGCCTATCCGGGACAGTGATGTTTAAAGGAATGCCAGAAAGAGGGGGAAGCATTAACCAGGACGGGGCAAAGGCCAGGAGAACGAGCAGAACAGAAGAGCAGTACAAAAGTCCAGAGGCCAGAGTGAGGACAGACAACCGTCACTTGTCACTTCTACAGATGCTCTGAAGAGGGCACTCAGATCGTATGCCACAGACAGACATTAACTGGAGGGCAGCGGGAAATCACCAAGAGGAGTTCGTCTGTTCGGAGTCGGGGACTCAAGTAGCTGAGGCTTGCCTTGATATTACCACATAACCAAGGATAGCCTTGAATTCTTGAACCTCCTGCTTCTACCTCTCAGGTGACCATGCTGGTTTTATGTGGTGTTGAGAGTCAAACCCAGGGCCTCCTTCATACTATGCAAATACCTTATCACATGATTTTTAAAGTTAGGAAATGAGATGATCATTTCAACACATTATAAGAATCTCTTGACCTCAGGGTAGAACATGACTGGCAGGAAGTGAGCCTTGACCGTAGCCTGACACTGTAATGGTGGTGGAGGAGGAGGGGGAGGAGGAGGAGGAGGAGGAGGAGGAGGAGGAGGAGGAGGAGGAGGAGGTGGTGGTGGTGATAACTGAGATGTTTAAGAAACAGATTTAATACAACTTGACTTACAGGATTTGGTCAGGTTTGAAGTTGAGAAGGCAGAGGGTCTGGAGAGATGGCTCAGTAGTTCACACAGGATGTTCTTCCAGACAACCAGGTTCATTTCCCAGCATCCATATGGCAGCTCACAACTGCTTATCACTCCAGTTTCAAAGGATCAGATGCCCTCTTCTGGCCTCCTTGGGGGACCAGGCACGCACAAAGTTCACAGACATGCACACAGGCAAACACCCATACAAGTTAAGTAAAATAATAATTGGAGGAGGGGTGGGTGGGGAAAGCAAGAAGAAACAGGACCAAGCTTAGGTTTCTGAGCTAGGCAGCTAAGCAGTTTATGGTTCTTGCTTAGCAAGAGCTGCAAGAGTGGTTTTAGGTGGCTGGGAGAGGACTCCAGGTTAACACAAATACTGGGTGCTTCTGAGGCTGCCAAGTAGAGGTGTGAGCATCAGCGTGGGGTGATTGTCATTGGTTTGTTTTCCAGGAACTGGAGGTTGACTCTTGGACCCAGTACAGAGTAAGCACTAACTTCACTGATGAGCTATACCCTCAGCCCTCTTGTTACTTTGTGTTTTGAGACAAGGTCTCATTACATGGCTTGGGCAAGTCTTGAACTTCTGATCCTCCCAACTCAGGCTTCACCTGGCTAGTCATTTGAGTTTTTAAGTTAAAAAAAAAAGTCTGGGTTAAGAAGTCAGCTGTGAGCCGGGCGGTGGTGGCGCATGCCTTTAATCCCAGCACTCGGGAGGCAGAGGCAGGCGGATCTCTGTGAGTTCGAGGCCAGCCTGGGCTACCAAGTGAGTCCCAGGAAAGGCGCAAAGCTACACAGAGAAACCCTGTCTCGAAAAACCAAAAAAAAAAAAAAAAAAAAAAAAAAAAGAAGTCAGCTGTGTATGTAGATTATAATCACAGTCTTGGAGATGGAGAAGGCTTGCAGAAGTCAGGCCTGGTGTCTCATGCCTACAATCCTAGCATTCAGGAGGATTTTTGAGTTTGCAGACCACTCTCGAAACAACCAAATCCTGTATCAGAAACAAAGGGCCATCTGGATGACTTACTGGCTTGGTTGCCAAGCCAGGCTACTGGAAGACCTTCATGGTAGCAAGAGAAATGGCCTCCACATGAGCACCAAGGCGCGCACGCGCGCGCGCACACACACACACACACACACACACACACACACACACACACACACACAACAAACACGACAATGAAAAATGAAAGGGGGCTTAGGGAGCTCCAGCACCAGTGTGGACTGCAAGGTGGCTCCCTAAGGTCATGAGCACTACTGCCCCATCAGGGCACCTCACTGTCCTTTTACTAGTTTCTGCTTCCTATTATCTCTTGTAAACAGTTGTTCATCTCAACTGTCCCCACCGTTGCCAAGCAAGCCTTTGGGTGGGTCTTTTTTTTTTTTTTAAGATTTATTTATTTATTACACATACAGTGTTTTGTCTACATGGCAGAAGAGGGCACCAGATCTCATTATAGATGGTTGTGAGCCACCATGTGGTTGCTGGGAATTGAACTTGGGACCTCTGGAAGAACAGCCAGTGCTCTTAACCTCTGAGCCACCTCTCCAGCCCTAGGTGGGTCTTTTTAGGAGTTTTAAAACTAAGATTCCCTCTTTTGGGGCTAGAGAGATGGCTCAGCATTAAGAGCACTGGTTGTTCTTCCAGAGGTCCTGAGTTCAATTCCCCGCAATCACGGGGTGGCTCATAACCATCTATAGTGGGATCTGATGCCCTCTTCTGGCATAAGGTCGTACATGCAAATAGAGCACTCATATACATAAAATAAATAAATATTTATATAAATAAATTTCCTCTTTCACCAGGGGTGACTTTACTCAGCACTTGGGAGGCAGATACAGGAGGATCTCAGTGGGTTTGAGGTTTGAGGCCAGTCTGGTCCACATATCATTCTAGGACAGCACTGAGAGACCCGGTCTCAAAAAAAAAAAAACCTAAACAACAAGGGTGGAGAGATGGTTCAGTGGTTAAGAGCACTGGTTGCTTTTCCAGAGTGCCTGGGTTCAATTCCCAGCACCCACATGGTGGTTCACAACTGTCTGTAACTCCATTTTCAGTGGATCCAACACCCTCACACAGACATACAGACAAAACACCAGGGCACATAAAATAAAAATAAACAAATCATTAAAAACCAAAAACAACAACAACAAATTACTTTCATCTTCATCATGCCCCAAAGTCAAAACTTCTAAATATTAGAGGTGTGTGCACAGTTCAGATATACCTGGAAGAACCCAAACCCTCCTTCCTTCTGGAGGTGGGGGTGGGGGTGGGACCCTCATCTTGGTTTTAAGAGGTTGCTCACAGCAGGCTGCTACCTAATAGGTTACCTCATTAGGAACGTCTCCAGCCTTCCGGGAGGAAACTGTCAAGGTCAGAGAGAAGCCGTAGGTTTGACCAGGGACAGGCTGATTGGGGGAAATGAATTGTGAGAGGAAATGCCACTTATCCAGAAGCCACCTGCCCATTTCCTATGTTGTTTCGTGTGGTTTTGAGACACCATGTAGCCCTGGCTGGTCTGGAACTGGCTATGTACATCTGGTTGGCCTTGAACTCACAGAGATCCTCCTGCCTATGCCTCCCTGAGTGCTGGGATACCAAGTACCAGAACTCCTGGCCTTATTTTTGTGTTTTGAGAGAGAGGGTTAGGTAGCCCAGGCTGTCCTGGAACTCACTACATCACCCAGATCGACTTCAACCTGTCCATCTAGTCTCCTGCTTCAGACCTCTAAGGGCTGTGAATATGTGTGTGCAACACTACACCTTCTTTTCTTCCCCACTCCTATGGTTACTAAAATTATAGAAAGGGCTCCAAAATATTTAGACGAAATAGTATGATTGATTTGTGTGTGTAATCTTCATAGTACCTAAATACAAAAGGAAGCTGGGTGTAGTGCATCCCTTTAGTTCCCAAGTGCGCCCTCATGCCTGGCAATAACTTATTTGTCTTTATTTTATGTGCATTGGTGTTTTGCCTGCATGGATGTATGTGTGAGTGAGTGTGTCATGTCGTATGCCCTGGAACTGGAATGACAGACAGTTGTGAGCTGCCATGTGGGTGCTGGGAATTGCACCGGGGTCCTCTGGAAGAGCAGCCTGTGCTCTTAACTGCTGAGCCTTCTTTCCTTATTCTTCATCATTGGGTCATTATCACTTCTTTCCCTTTTCTGCCCTGATCACTTATATCTTTTACTCCCCCTCAGTTAATACATTTTCCCACCAACCTCTTGTGACCAAGCCACGGGGAGGGTCAGAGCTGGGGAAGGTGTACGCTTGCCTGAAAACCATACTTTCCATCTCTAGTCACCTAAAATATTTGCTAAAAGTTTCACTTCCCAACACCAGGGGGTGTCTCTCCCGGTCTCTCTCTCTCTCTCTCTCTCTCTCTCTCTCTCTCTCTCTCTCTCTCTCTCTCTCTCTCTCTCTCTCTCTCTCTCTCTCTTGCCCTTAAGGGTGCATTAGTCCCAAACCTTCTCCTCAGTGTTTTTATGTACACACTAAATCTTCCTCTGTCCCTCATGAGGCAGGGATCAGCCCCAATCATTTTCCTCGCTCCTTTTCACATAAGCACATAAATCTTGCATCCTCCCACTCCACCATCAAAGAACCGTGGGTCCAGAAAGTTCTTTTTAGTGCAGTTCATCTTTTTGTCTTGCAGGCTATCAGGACCAACTTGTCCTTTCCCTGTTTTATGAATCCTTCGGTCCTTACAGCTCCCACACTTCTTGCCTGCGATTCATTAATTCTCAGAGCTATCTTTAGGAGGTCTCTGAACCTCCCAAGTATCCACTTCTCATCTTCCTCTTACGGTTATCTCCCTGTCCTATCACTTCTGTGGCCCCTCTCTCCATCTCCCCCTCGGTCCTCTCTCTAAGAACAGTGTCACGATGTCTGTGGAGAACATGCCCCTTCTGCCCATCGGTGATGGACACATTCCACAGTGCCCCTCCGCACATTCCAACTGTAAACAAAGAGTTCCCTTTCACTCATCCCCCGAACTCTTTCCTGTTCCAACTCTTGAATTTTATGGTCGCAGCTGCCCAGTCTGCCCCTTGACCTTTCACGTCCTGCCGGCAGCCCTCCACCTCGGGGGCAGTTACCACAGTGTCCTTCCTGCGATGCAGAAAATCCTTGCGCGGACACGCCAACCCGGGGTGCACACCGCGCTCCGCCCTTCCCGGAAAGTAGATCCGGCTAGGCAGACAAAAGTTTGGAGAAGTTGGGTCGGTGCGAGTGAGAGCCAGGGGGGCGGGCCGGGCCGGCGGGCGGTGGCGCGAGCCGACGCGTGGACAGACCTGCGGAGGACGGCTGCTGCCGTGGGCCCTGCCAGCCGTGCGCGGACCCTCTCGCCGGGGCATGCTTCGGGATCGCGGGAGCCCGGCACCTGGGCCGCCCGCTGAGCCGTCGTGCGTCGCTTGCACCCCGGGAATCCGAGCCCGGGGGAACCCAAGCCCGGCCTTGGGCCGAAACGCTGCAGCGTGCCGGGCGGGGAGGGGGCTGCAGGCCCCAGATCCGAGGGCATGGAGCGGTTAGGGGAGAAAGCCAGTCGCCTGCTAGAAAAGTTGAGACTCTCGGATTCCGGCAGCGCCAAGTTCGGCCGCAGAAAGGGTGAAGCGAGCCGGTCTGGGTCTGATGGGACCCCCGGAGCAGGCAAGGGGCGCCTGAGTGCGTTGGGGGGACCTAGGAAATCAGGACACCGAGGAGCTAATGGGGGACCTGGGGATGAGCCTTTGGAGCCGCCCCGGGAGCCAGGGTCCCTGGACGCCGAGCGGAACGCACGCGGCTCCTTTGAGGCGCCGCGCTTCGAAGGGTCCTTTCCTGGGGGGCCGCCGCCCACTCGAGCCTTGCCTCTACCTCCCTCGTTGCCTCCTGATTTTCGGCTGGAGACCACGGCCCCGGCCCTCAGCCCTCGCTCCAGCTTCGCCAGCAGCTCGGCCAGCGATGCGAGCAAGCCGTCGAGCCCCCGGGGCAGCCTGCTGCTGGACGGGGCGGGGGCCAGCGGAGCCGGAGGTAGCCGGCCGTGCAGCAATCGGACCAGCGGCATCAGCATGGGCTACGACCAGCGCCACGGGAGCCCGCTGCCCGCGGGGCCGTGCCTGTTCGGCCTCCCCCTGACTACTGCTCCGGCGGGCTACTCCTCTGGAGGGGTTCCGTCCGCCTACCCGGAGCTCCATGCCGCCCTCGACCGACTGTGCGCTCATCGGCCCGTGGGGTTCGGCTGCCAGGAGAGCCGCCACTCGTACCCCCCAGCCCTGGGCAGCCCTGGAGCTCTAGCCGGAGCCGTGGTGGGAACAGCGGGGCCCTTGGAGAGACGTGGGGCGCAACCCGGACGACACTCGGTGACGGGCTACGGGGACTGCGCCGCGGGGGCCCGTTACCAGGACGAGCTCACAGCATTGCTGCGCTTGACGGTGGCTACCGGTGGGCGAGAAGCCGGTGCCCGCGGGGAACCCTCGGGGATTGAGCCGTCGGGTCTGGAGGAGTCTCCTGGTCCCTTCGTCCCAGAGGCCTCCCGAGTCCGGATGCGGGAGCCAGAGGCCAGAGAAGATTACTTTGGTGAGTAGGAGAGATGAGGCTAGGGACCCGAGAGACCGGACAAGGCATGCGGTTTCCCAGCGCCCCGACGGCCCAAATCACCGGTGGCCGGGGGTTGCAGGCGGAGACCCCGGACTAGAAAAGAGGCCAGAGGGATGGAAGAGGGAGGAGGACCATAGAGCACTTGCTCGTTCCTGCCAGGTTTCTAATGGGACAGGGATACTGATTCCTGACAAATTCAACTCCTGATTTTCTCGGGGAGTCCCATATTTCTCAAGCATAGGAGCACCTCGGCTTGTCGCAGTAGGAGGCCTTGTAAGGAGGAGGCGCTGCGGGGCCGGGAGAGCATCCTCCCGCGCCCCCCTCGCGGCTGGGTTCCTGCAAGCTCCGGCGTGCCGCGCCCCCACCCGCTCCTTGCTCCGCCCGTAGGAATTCGGGGAATGCGCGGGGGGCGGGGCGGGCGGCCGCGTGCGTGCCGACTCCTGCCCTGGCGCTCCAGGTGCCGTGGGCGACGCCCGCCAGGCGGAGGGGTGCGGAGCGGGTGCTTGAGTTGGGGGGTGTTTGCCAGCTCCCGCGCAGTCGTGGCTGCTGTCGGGGAAATGGAGCCTGGGGTGGTTGATCTCAACTCCCTCGAATGGAAAGCGGGGACTCAAGCCTTGCCGCGCTCTCCCTAGTCCTAGTGGTGAGGTGTGTGCCCGTGGCCTTTTAAAATTGGCCAGTACCTCCGGAAGGCAGGGCAAAGCCAATGACCACCTGGAGACCATTACCCTTGGGTAGATACCTGCTCTGTGTGACTGCCAGGTATTAACTGACTTTGAGTCCCCATCCCACCCCACCCCCATAACTTGACCAGCATTCAGGAGCAAGTAGACCTCCTTTCCAGCTGTTGTTGAGGAAACCTGGACACAGCCTCTCCAATATTCTTTTCAAGAAGTATCGATCGGTTGCTAAAGCTAAGCGGTGGGGTGTTAATCAAACCCCACAGATATTACTTAATTATATAAAGCAGTTACGATTTAAACGTGGAGGACACTCCCACTAACTCTGGGGATCTTGGTTTTCCAAGTACACCCCCCCCCCGTTTCCCACCATGTTCCTCTCTGACCCCGTCCTCCACCCCCCCACCCCCACCCCCACCCCCGTCCCTACCCCCGTCCCTCCCATGGCTAGAAATAGGAACAGAGAGAAGGATAATTGGGAGGAAGTTCAAAGGTAATACCGTGGTAGGCAGGAAGGGACTGAGATTTCAATACGTAAACACACACATTTTTTTTTTCCACCTATTCGGGAAGGGGGGGCGGGGGTGTCGCAGAACAGATGATCTAAATCTCTTTGATCAAGGGAAACCGTGGCCGGGCCCATTTAACAATTTCCTTTTGAGGCCCACGAGAGACCTGGGAAGAGAAGTCTCACTGGCTAAACCATCAGAGCCCAAAGAAAGGAACTCAGAAAGTACAATGAAGCAGCGGGGAGACGCTAGGTGTGCGACGTTCTGTGAGCCGAGGGGAGCATCTTCCTCTTTCCGGTGTCCGTGGCTCCGACCGGACCCCCTGGCATGGCAATCTTGGGCAAATTTCTCTGGTCATGAGGAAGGGGAACACCCTTTGAACTCAGAAATGAGGCCAGGTTGCCTCTGACAGACCCCCTGCAGCAGACTCTGCCCCAATGCTAGCCTGATGGCCTGATGGTGCCTTTTACTGCTGTCTCTAGTTAGGGGCCCTCTTCCTTGGCTTCAGCTCTGCCCAGCTGCCAGAGGGTGGGAACAGGACAGGCCCGGGCCCATCAGATGCCGCAGCTGCTGCACCAGCTCCCAAAGCCCCTGGGCAAAGACTGGGATGGGCCCTAACAGGCAGGGAGCGTGGCAGTGTGCCGAGGGGGGAAGGTGGGGCAGGCCCGTTGGGATCTGCTCCCCAGAGACAGGTCTTAGCCCTCAGTCATGGGCCTGGAATTGGGGAGTGGAGGAAAGGATGAACACACCCAGGAAAGGCTGGTTCCAGAACCAGGTGTAGGTATGTGAGTGGCGAGTGCCAGGGAAGCACAGCTAAGCCCTGGTTCACGTGGCAGGAAGGCCATGCTATGGTCTGCTAACCTTCTCCCCCCTCCCCAAGATCCTATACACTCCTGGCCCCTGAAGCCCCAACCATGTTCTCAGCAGTGACTTCCCTAGAGAAGTGTTCACAGGGCCCATCTGCACAGAAGACCCTCTGCTGGGCCAGATCGAATTTTATGGCCGGTAAAAACTGAAGTCCCAGAGTGGGCCTGGGTTGCTTTCTTTAGGAAGTTTTTACAGGTGCTGCTGAGCCCCTGTGTACCGGCATCTCCATCTCCCACCACTTCCTGCCCACTTGTCCCAAAAGAAACAAAGCATCTTGAACTTAACAATTTTTTTTTTAAATTAGGTTCTGTGCCAAGCACCAAATAGGTGTTCAGAGAATATCCACTAATTGAGAAGAATGGATCTGCCTAGTCAAGATCTGGCTGCACCCTGTTTTCTTTCTTTCTTTTTTTTTTTTTTTTTTTGGTTTTTCGAGACAGGGTTTCTCTGTGTAGCTTTGCGCCTTTCCTGGATCTCGCTCTGTAGACCAGGCTGGCCTCGAGCTCACAAAGATCCGCCTGGCTCTGGGATTAAAGGCCTGCGCCACCACCACCCGGCCCTTTTTTTTTTTGAGGCAGGGTCCCACAGATTCAACTTAGGCTTCAACTGCTGTGTAGCCAAGGTGACCTTGAGCTCCCGATCCCCTTGCCTCTACCTGACTGCTGGATTCCAGCATGCCCCATCACATCCATTTCCTCGGTGCCAGGGGTGGAACCCGGGGCTTTACACATGGCGGGCAAGCATTCTACAGGTTGAGCTTGCACCTCCCCACCCACTGCCTCCCATTTCTAGTTACCCTCAGACACTGAGGGGACGGCGTCCTTCGGCATGGCATCAGTCAGGCACGTTCGTTCGAGAGAGCTTGGGGATTCCCGGGTTCGAGCTGGGGAAGGTGGGGCGTGACACTGACCAGCTCTTCTTCTCTCAGGTACCTGTATCAAGTGTAACAAAGGGATCTACGGGCAGAGCAATGCCTGCCAGGCCCTGGACAGCCTCTACCACACCCAGTGCTTTGTCTGCTGCTCCTGTGGTGAGTCCACCTGCTACAGAAGCCCCCCTCCCCCCCACCAGCCGACCGCTTTCATAGACAGGGGCACCTGTCAGGACCCGTAGCTACCCTGGCTACCCTGTCTCTCGTCCGTGCCTGTCTGAGTGCTACCTGGCTTTCCCTCTCCATGCTGGGTCTGCTGAGTTCTCTAGTCTTCCAAACTCCTTGCTCTTCTCTGAACCTCCCTTTTCCTTGTGCCTCCCTGCTGGCCCAGCTTTGGGCTCCCGCCCCACCTCTTCTTGGTGAGGTTTGGTCTTGGGCAGCAGAGTTGCCTGGGGCGACAGTGAAAGACTGGAATGTGGGAAGGGCGGGTGTGGGCCAGGGGGAATGGGGAGCTGGGGGGTGGGCAGGGAGGGGGGTTTTCTCTTGGCTGGTCAGAGTTCAGCCACCTCACTAGAGTGGAGGCCACCAGGCCATGCCAAGCTGATGACATCACACTCCAGGAATGTCTGCTGCTGCTGTTAGCTCAGGAGGCCCTCTGTGGGGGTGCTCCCCCACCACACCCTCCCTCACCTCTCATTATCCGTTTACCACTGCTTACCCATTCTGATTCTTCGGCTAACCCTGTAATCTCCTATCTCTGCCTGTCTGACTCCGGCACTCAGCTTTTCTCTTCCTCCCCCAGCTTCTGCCTGCATCTCTCTGGGCTGATCTGGCTGTCCTTTTCATTGGGCCTCTTCCGGGTATGTCCTCTCCTTTTCTCTCCCAAGTCATGTAAGTGAGCTTTTCTGGAGAACCCCCCCAGCCCCCCCCCCCCAACAGAGCTGGAAGTGGATTCAATGGGAAACTTGCCCATTCTTCACCCCTGCTCTCTCGCCTTGCTTATCCGTGACCACTTACACCTTATGGAGTGAGTAGCTTTGTGGATGTTGGTCTAAAGGGAGACAAACTGCCCGTGTAGACCTGAGGAAGAATCGCAGGCTGCCTCTGACCTCAAAGACGCTTGCATTTCGCTGAGCTCCCATACAAAGCAGTAACTCCAAGATATCCTGACCACCATAGATAAGGCTGTGGCAGGAAGGAGTTAGACGTGAGCCGGATACCTACCGAAACAAAGACCCCTAGGTTAGAAGGTCCCGGAGCGCAAGGCCTAGGACCAGTGAATACTCCCTGCAGATCAAGTAACACCCGGTCAGTGCTGCTTACCCGGCACACCAGCCTACCTGACCTTGGCTGTCTTTGGTGGCTCCCCATGCATGGAAGCGGTCTGGGTGGCAGACAGCTGTGGAGCTAGAGGAGCAGGAGACAGAACAGTTGTTTGGCTGCAGTGAGGCCAAAGCCAGTTGGAATTGTATCGTGAGATTTTTATGTCTATCCCCTGCCTCAGTCTCCACCTGCATACGGTGTTTTTGTTTGGGAAGGGAGACTAGAGAGCAGTTAGGAGGGGAAAGCTTTAAGGTCCAGGTCCAACTGTCCTGTGCAGCATTGGGGAGCAGGGCCCAGAGGAGGAAAAGCCCTGTGTGGGGGCTCCAGAGATAGGCTCCAGCCCCTTCTCTGCTGCTTCTAGGACGGACTCTGCGCTGCAAGGCTTTCTACAGTGTCAACGGCTCTGTCTACTGTGAGGAAGATTACCTGGTGAGCAGGGGCTGAGAGTTAGCTCTGACACAGGACGCTCTTTGGCGGCCGGTCGGTCGGGTTGGGTTCCATTGTTATCTCCAGCTTGGTGAAGACCTCCTTTCGTCCCTTCTCCAGTTTTCAGGGTTTCAGGAGGCGGCTGAGAAGTGCTGTGTCTGCGGCCACTTGATTTTGGAGAAGGTAAGCAGTGCGTCCTCAGCTGGGACCTGGAAGTGAGGGGGACGTGCTGGCTTTGGAAACATAAGAGAAGGCGGCCAAGGTGCCTCCCCAGAGTGGCCCCACATTGCCTACCCTGCTGCCTGTGAGAGCAAATTTGTGACCCTAGTCTCACCCTGCGGGGCTTCTGGGATCTTTCCCCTCCCTGACTGCAACATAGCCTGCCCTCCAGCCTGAGCTGGAGCTGGGTGGACGTGCTTCCTTTCCTGATACTGGTTGGAAACAGTTGGAACTCAGTTTTCTGCATTAAAAAGGAGGAATTGGAGCTGGGCTTGGTGGTACATACCTTTAATCCCAGCAGAGGCAGGTGACTCTCTGTAGTTCGAGGCTAGCCTGGTCTACAGAGTGGGTTCCGTTGTCTTGAAAAAAAAAAAAAAAAAAAGAATGAAAAAATTAGATTGGTGATTCTTTTTTTTTTTTTTTTTTTTTTGGTTTTTCGAGACAGGGTTTCTCTGTGTAGCTTTGCGCCTTTCCTGGTACTCGCTTTGGAGACCAGGCTGGCCTCGAACTCACAGAGATCCGCCTGGCTCTGCCTCCCGAGTGCTGGGATTAAAGGCGTGCGCCACCACCGCCCGGCCTAGATTGGTGATTCTTAACTATGGCCGTCTAGTAGATACCTGGGAAGGACTGAAAATAAATAAATAAAAATTCTGGCACCCACCTCGAGTTGTAATAAAAGGTTAGGTGTGGCCTGAGGCTGTGGTTGTGTTAGTCGAGCGAATGCCTTACATGACCAGCCCTGGGTTCCATCCTCAGCACTGTACACACCAGGCATGATGGTGCATGCATACCTGTTATTTCATTTCTCTGGAAGTGAGGCAAGAGGATCTGGAGTTCAAGGTCATCCTCAACTATTTTTAAGGCCAGTCTAAGAGACCTTTGACCCTGTCTCCAAGAAATAACAACAAAAATCCACAGGCCTGGAAATTTCTGAGACCTTTTTCAGGGTTTTGGTTGTTTTTTTGTTTGTTTTTTCCTCTATTTTAAGCCGCCTTGGTCCACTCAAATTCTGTAGCATTCTTCTAGGACAGGAGGGGGTTGGAAAGGAACATAATGGGTAGCTGGAGCAGACTGAACGGAGACTGATCCTCCTCCTACCCCGCAAGCCAGATCCTACAGGCCATGGGGAAATCCTACCACCCAGGCTGCTTCCGGTGTGTCGTTTGTAACAAGTGCCTGGACGGCGTCCCCTTCACAGTGGACTTCTCCAACCAGGTGTACTGTGTCACTGATTACCACAAGTGAGTCTAACCTGGGGGTGGCCGGAGATACGGGACTGGGCCCACGGACCCCTCAACCTCAGCTTATCACTGTCTTCTCTCTTTCAGAAATTACGCCCCAAAATGTGCAGCCTGTGGACAACCCATCCTCCCCTCAGAGGTCAGTGTGTCTGAGTTCCTGCCAGGGCAGCCAGTGCTGTTGCCCCTTGGGAGGAGATGGGGACATGCAGCCTGGCCTCCCTTGGGAAGTGGTACTTCTGAGGAATGCACATTCTGTGAAGATTTCCCGTGTGACTCTGCTCTTGGGGTCACCGCCCTGACCCAAACTTCCGGACCCAGACATGTCTGATAGACTTGCTGGGCCCAGGCTCCATATCTTCTGTCCCTGTCCAGAGAACAAGGCTCTCAAGGTCACCAGATACAGGGACTGGAAAAGGGTGAAACTATTCCTTAAGCTGGTAAAAACGGGGTCAGAGATTATTTAAGCTGTGTATGGAGAGGGTGTGCTCGGAGAAAAGCCCAAAAACCTCTTTCTTAGCCTGACTTGTGCTCAGCCATGTCTCTTTCCCCACCCCTCCCCACTCCTGCTTCTCCACACATGTGGGTAGCAGGTAAGGCCGAGCACCTCTATGGAGGGAGAGCTGCATGGCGCTGTCCTGGAGCAGTGCCGTGGGTAGGGATAGCATTTTTGGTAGGAGTTGCTAAAATATCTCAAAGCTACATGGGATTGCATCTAACTGCAGAGAGGCCTTTGTATGATCTGCCTGTTGGAGCGGGGGTGGGGTGGGGTGGGGTGGGTTTTCTGTGGCTGGGATGACGATTTTGAGGGACACTATGCTGCACTCACCCCCACCCCCACGGGGCTCTACGTGTTTCAGGGTTGTGAGGACATTGTGAGGGTGATATCCATGGACCGTGATTATCACTTTGAGTGCTACCACTGTGAGGTAAGTGTTGGATTTGGGGCTGATGGAGGAAAATTAGAGTTAGGGAGGGGGAGTCAGTCTTGGGAATAACTGGGCGTCTATGGAAGTGGTGCAGGACACCGAGAACTAGGACACTGTTGTGACCTGTGTCCAGCCTCCTTTGTCCTCCAGCTACTCTTCCTGGTTCTCGTTGTTGAGATCTCTTTTGAAGGTGGCTTCCCCAGCATGGACTCACTGCTGGAGATGATGGGGCTTATGTCATTATTTCTGCAACAGCAGCGACACCTGGTGTCCAGATGAAGTGTCTCTGGGGTCTTCACCCTGCCTCCCGGGGCCCCCCCCCATTCTTCCTACTCATTGGCTAGTCTGCTCCTGAGCAGGGCAGACTCCCCCAAGATGGCCTCGGTGTGCAGGGAGCCCCGAGCTGCTGTGAATTCGTTGCCTTCTTCCTTAGGACTGCCGTATGCAGCTGAGCGACGAGGAAGGCTGCTGCTGTTTCCCTCTCGATGGACATCTGCTCTGCCATGGCTGTCACATGCAGCGACTCAGTGCCCGACAGCCCCCCACCAACTATATCTGAGCTGTCCTTGCTGCTGCTGCTGCCGCCATCACCCCTGTGGAGAAATTCTCTGGCCAGCCGAGGCGAGGAATGCACTCTGCAGTCCTTGTGAAGAGTTCTCTGGGGAGGCCCCAAAGGCCAGAGACCCAAAGATCCTAACATTCCAAATAGGCTGTGGAGGAAGGACCTTCTGTTTGCTAGGAGGGTTGACTGGCCTTGCTCGTGTTCAGCCTGTGCCTCGGAGCACGCACGGGCAGGCTTCGTACTTTCTGAACATCGATTCTGATGTATATTTCCAGTGTATGTTTCTGTATTAGTCGAGCAGTGTGCTAGTGCTGGATCACACGAGAGGGCCTCACAGAAACCACCCCCAGTCTGTTGTACTCTACACACGGGGTCAGCCAGGCCTTTCCCACAGTGTCCTATCTTGGTCTGCATGAAGGGCTGGAAGCCCTGGACTTAATGACATGAGTCATTTCTTGGCTGTCTCCCTAAGGACTAGAGAGGTCCCCCATCTGTCTGCTGGGACGGGGACCAGCTCTGGGGGGGGTCCTGCTGCCTGTGTTGCCTGTTTCTCAGGGACCTGGGGAGGCTGAGTGGGGCCTGTCCTGGTTGCTGTTTTGCTTAGCTGGGGGGATGTCATGAGCAGGTCTCTGGGTATGAAACTTTCTGGGTGGGATGTCCAGGAAGCTTCAGGCTAGCCCCGCTCCCGCTCCCGGGTTGAAGTGCACTGAGCCCTCTAGCCCAGCCTGTGTGGATGCGTGTGTGTCCGTGTGCGCCTGTGCCCCTCCCTCTGACTCCTTTTTTCTCAGGTGACTTCGACACTTAGTTCCCCAGCAGTAGGAATTTGATTTTATCATTTGAGACCCACCTCATAAAGGGATCCTGCCTTGGATCTGCTCCAGCCCGACAACTCAAGGCTTTGTGGAAGCCAGCAAGAACAAAATGGTTTGACTTGGTTCTAGTCCGCTTGGCTGAACCTTGAATTCACCCAAAGCCGGATGTCTTAAAAGTCAGTTCACTCGCTGGCTGGACGTTCAGTGCATTTGATGAGCAGGTTGACAAGAGCTCCACCCCCTTGTGAGTGTTTTCCTAGCCACCTAAATGTTCTGTTCTTTTCATTACACTGAGCATTCAGTGGTTTCTGCCTGTTCATCAAGAGTACTTCAGAGTTATTAGCAACCTACATTTCTCAACTTTGTGGCACTTTGTAAGTGATAAGATTGTTCCCTGCCTTTATGAGTATCTTTTCCTACGTGATCTATTTCTTGGACACTTAAAAAAACAAAGTTTAAATTCTAGCAATAAATAACAATTGGTACAGATATTTTGTGAGTGTACTGTGTTTCTTACTTCGATATTTGTTATAAGTTCATTTGTAAGTATGCCTTGAAAATTTAATGGAACTCCATATGGTTTTGGTGCATTTGTCTGACTTCCACATCCGTATTGTTAAAATGTAATTGTACCATAAACAAGTGAGTCTGGAAATGATGGACTCCTGAGGACGGAAGACCCACTTTGCGGGGGCTATTCTAGGATCAAGGATCACTGTGCCAGCCATTATGGGAATTACTGGACAGGGTCTCCAAGTGAGGAAGAGAACAGATACATACAGTTGGGGAAATATATTTTTGGAGAAACGTTCTGAAATTTGGATTACTTGTTTTTCAGCTGAGACTTCTGAACTACGACTGAATGAGTAACTAAAAGGGTCCTGTGAGCAGGACATTTTCCCACTGGGCTGGGGAAAGAGGCAAGCTTGTATAGCTCTACACTCAGCCTCTTGGTCCTGAATTGAGTAAACGCATCCAACTCTACTTTGGGCTTTTCTCCATTCCCACCCGTGGGCTCCTTCCCATCTAGGTCTGCGCTAATACTGCCAGGGGCTCCCCCAAACTATTCTTGCCAGAGGGACAGGCTGCAGCAGGGGAGCAACCAGCTAGCCTGCATCAACATGGAGTCCCCATATGCCCTTTTTACTAGAAGATTGCTTCTCTTAATACTTGTCTTTGCTGCTTGCAACTGCTGGTGACTGGTGGGATGGCATCATGGGTGCAGCAATAGGGAGACTCTTTGGCTAACTTGGACACTCCATATTTACTAATATACTAGTACTGAGATGGAGAAAGGGGAAGAACCTCTGTGAGATGCAAGGTAAGGGTCAGGCTTTGGCAGCTGATCTGAGCTCTTGGCTCTGGATAAGCTCTGGTCACCAAGAACCCAACAAGGATAAGACGGGGGCCAGCGTGGTGGTTCAGCAGGTCAAGGCACTTGGCTGCCAAGCCTGATGACCTGAGTTCAACCCCCAGACCCCACCTGGTAGAAGGAGAGACCCAACTCCCACGAGTTGACTTCTGGTGCCCCTGGAGTGTGGCCTCCGCACACAGAATAAAAATTATGTAAAAAGGCCGGGCGGTGGTGGCGCACGCCTTTAATCCCAGCACTCGGGAGGCAGAGCCAGGCGGATCTCTGTGAGTTCGAGGCCAGCCTGGACTACCAAGTGAGTTCCAGGAAAGGCGCAAAGCTACACAGAGAAACCCTGTCTCGAAAAACTAAAAAAAAAAAAAAAAAAAAATTATGTAAAAAGAATGGGAGTAAGATGGACTGGACCCATGGGCTAGCATCTGTAGTTCCAGCATTCAGGAAGTAGATACAGGAGAGCCCGGAGAGATGGCTCAGCAGTTAATAGTACTTGCTGCTCTTACACAGGACCCAGGTTCTATTCCCAGCACCCACGTCACAGCTTAGAACCTTTTGTTAGTAACTCCAGTTCCAGGGGCTCTGACGCCTTCTGACGTCCTCTGGTACCAGGAATGAATGTGGTGCATAGACAAGTGTAGATAAAACACTCATATACATAAGAATAAATATTTTTTAAAATTCTGGCATCTAACGTAGTGGCATGTACCTAGTTCTAGCACGGGGGGCGGGGGCGGGGGGGGGGTAGCGGGGCGGCTGAGATAAAATCAAAAGTTTTGAGGCTAACCTGGGCTAAAGGGTGATGGCTCAATGGAACAGTATTTGCTTAGCATATGCCCCATCACTAATGGATGGAGTTGAGCACAGGGGGAAGTGAGTTCAAATGGTTTTCTTTGCCTTTTTCTTGTATAGAGTCTTGACTTCTACCTCCCGGAGCTCTTGAAGCCAGGAAAAGTGGAAAGATTATACTTACAGCCAGGCCACTTCAGGAGATAGTAAGCTGTTTCCAAGTATGTAAGCCTGTTACATGCAGTCCTTCAGAGTGTACCTTTAAGCAAAAAGAAAGTAGCTGGGGGTGATGGCCCAGCACTTGGGAGTAGAGGCAGATGGGTCTCTGTGAATTCCCGGTCAGCCTGGTCTACAGAGCAAGTTACAGGGCAGCCCGAGCTCCGTAGGAAGACCCTGCCAAACAAAACAAAAACAACAAACCAAAGTAAGAAAACACAAGCACTGGAATGAAAAAGATGGGGAAAATAAAGGTTAGCCAAAACATTTTGTTCAAAACTCAATAAACCTTTTGAGAGTCTTTAATTTTTTTTTTAACTTTATGAATGTTTTGCTTGTGTGTAAGTGCACCCCATGTACCTGGTGCTCTCAGATAACAGAAGAAGAGGAAGTTATCAGGTCCTCTGGCACTGGAGTTAAACACGGTTGTGAGCTGCTATGCAGGTGCTGAGAATCCAACCTGCGTCCCCTGAAAAAGCAGCTAGCACCCTTAACTGCTGGGCCACTTCTCTAGCCCTTGTTTGAAGTGTGTGTGTGTGTGTGTGTGTGTGTGTGTGTGTGTGTGTGTGTGTGTGTGTGTGTGTGTGGTGTGCATCGGTGCCCAAAAAGGCCAAAAGAGGGCGTCAGATAGCCAGGAGCTGGAGCTGCATGCAGTTGTAAGCCACCTGATGTAAGTGCTGGGAACCGGACTCAGGTCCTCCGTAGGGGCAATAAGCATCCTTCCCTCCTGAGCCATCATCTCTCCAGTCCTGGAAAACATTTTTTTTTCTACCCTGTTTTTGAAACACCCATACCTGAAAGCTGACCTGGCCAGCTCAGTGGCCGTGTGATGAGGCTCCGTAAGAGTCTAATCAACCTCAGTCCTGTGGTCCTGTCTGTCCCCTCTGACTTCGCTGATTGGGTCTCAGCTATGCCATAAAGGGATTCTAGGAAATCCACTGTCAGTCCCAGTTATAAAGGAGTTAAATCTTGACCTTGAAAATAGGAGCAGATTGCTGGGCTGGGCACGCCTTAATTCAGCACTCAGAAGGGAGGCCGGGAGCTCTTAAAATTGAGGCCAGCCTGGACTACACAGAGAGAACTTGTTTCTTTCTATTTTTCAAAAAATACTTACTGATTTTACTATTTTGTGTGTATGTGTGTGCACCTCATGCATGCCTGGTGTCAGCCGAGGCCAGAAGAGGGCATCAGATCCCCGGGAACTGGAGTTACAGATGGTTGTGAGCCACCATGTGGGTGCTGGGAATTGAACCTGGGTCCCCTGAAAGAGCAACAAAAGCTCTTAGCTGTTGAGCCAACTCTCCAGATTCCAGACCTTGTTTCTAAAGTGAGATACCAGCCTCTGGTGACTGTCTACCATCACAAGTGGACTGGTCTCATCTGTACAGCTCAGGCCACTCTCCCACTAACCCAGGCTGACCTGGAAGTTGTAGCAATCTCTGATTTGGTTTCTCAGGTGCCGGGATTACAAACGTGTGTGCGCATTCATCTTGGCAAATTCTCTTATTTTTTTTAAATATATTAATTTTTAATTAAAAAATTATATTCAGGTGTTTTGCCTGTACGTCTGTCTGTGCACCGTGTACGTGCAGTGTCCATGGAAGCCGGAAGAGGGCATCCGATCTCCTGTGGCTGGAGTTACAGAGGGTTGCGAGCTGCCATATGCCATAAGTTTTGTTGTGTGACAAAACTTCCTGGGGAGATGTGACACACACACATCTATTCAGCCCAGATAGGAAACCCACAACAGACCAAGGTACCAATATCACCAAAGTCCAACTTGGTCAAGCAGGAGTTTTATTAGGGTTACTTGCTGGCATTCGGATGAGGGGTTACTTACAGAAATGATTCCAAGACAGCTGCATCACCACGGTCCACCCCAGTAGGGGTGACAGCTCACAAAAGCAGGAAACCTGGACACACTGCACAGCCTGCAGGCAGCTCACTGGTGAGAGCGTCCTTTCCAAGTGACTCTGGTCTACACCTCTTCCCGTAGCTCAGCTGGTTTCTGCTTCTTCCAGGCTGTGGACTGGTCTCAGGATCTTCTTTGCAGCTCCAACTATCTGATCTTTTTTGCTGTTCAGCCTCCTTTCATGGGAGAGAGACTCAGCTTTCATGGTGTACTCTTGCAGGGAGGGGTCTAGTGAATCTGGTTAGTTTCAGGTACTTCCTGAAGATCTTTTGAGTTGTTTACCTTCCTAAGCTTTAAGAGCTTCCTGCAGGATGGAATGTTTTATCTCGGAGGAAATTGTTACATAACTGTGCTTGGAATTGAATCCAAATCCAGATCCTTTCTGCATAAACTGCCACTCTCCAGGCCCTCCTGATTTTTTTTTTCTTTTTTCTTTTCTTTTTTTTTCTTTAGACAAGGTATACTGACTAGTTTTGTGTGTCAACTTGACACAAGCCAGAGTCATCAGAGAGGAAGGAGCCTCAGTTGAGGAGATACCTCCATGAGATCCAGCTGTAAGGCATTTCTCCTTTAGTGATCAATGGGGGAGGGCCCAGCCCATTATGGGTGGTGCCTCCCCTGGGTTGGTGGTCCTGGGTTCTGCCTGTCTCTGTTTATCAGGATTAAAGGTGTGCTCCACCATGCCTGGTTCTATTTTTTAAATTTTTTTTATGATTATTTATTTTATGGGGGAGGGGCATGTACCTGCCCCCACCTGTGTGTGGAGGTCAGAGACCCACCCTCTGGAGTTGGTTCTGTCTTCTACCATGTGGGGCCCAGGGATTGAATTCAGGTCATCAGGTAAAGAGCCTTTACCCACTGAGCCATTTTGCTAGTCCAGCAAATTCCTTTTACTGTGTATTGAATATTATTTTGCCACCAGCAAAAAGGAAGAGCACTGGTTAGCTTTAATAGGTGAGGGCCAAATAGGGCATGATTTTAGAGAATACAGTCTCCTTCCTTCTAGAATGAGGACATAGAGGAGCCGGGAAGATGGTGCACTGGGTTCTTAAGAGCACCTGCTCTGTGCAAGCATGAGGATCTGAGTTCTAATCCCTGGCATCCAGGTGAAATGCTAGGCATGGCTGTGTGCACTGTAACCCAAGCATGGTGGAGACAGCCTGTTGTGTCTTGAGGATGGCTGGCCAGTCAGCCTACACCAAGCACCT